TGGAAAATGCAATGCTAGAAGGACATATCTGCCAGCCAGGCTGCCAGTGAGGAACACTGATTTGGAGGTGTGAAGAAACAAGTTGTTTCTGGGCAAGGGTCTCTAGGGTTTGGCTTTTCTTTCCCCATGAATCTTGCATCTCTCTGTATCTGAGAATCCTCCCATAGGGTTCAGTTCATCCTCCTTTGACACAAGAGCATATCTTCCTGCTATGATGAAATACAAACTTAGTTTTAATGTGCTTGTGCCAACACAACACATAATTCTGAATGCATATACCAAGATCCTTTATTCTCTTTTTTTTGGAGGGGAGGACAGCTGCCAGAAGTCCACAAAGTATGTAAGTGGTACCAAATAAAGTATGTAAGTGGTGTCAAATCCACTGCTGGTGATGAAGGTACCAGCAGCATAGAAGGATCACTGATCACTATCTGCAAACTCTGGGTAGATTGAACAACTTCAAATGACTGTCAAAATACATAGCTTACCAACCACATTAGAAGAGTAGAAGCACTTTGGCATAGAACCCCATGCACTACTGATAGCACAAGTGATTGTCAAATTCAGGGATGTCAAATTCACCTTGCATCTCTAGCCAGATCTGTACTGCAAGGCTCCTTGTCCCACCCATCACTGGTCACATCTTGAAATTCATTGGCCCATCAGGAGCCCAGGGAACCCGATGGTGCAGTTCTGTGGACCGGATCCAATTTACAGGCTTTTTCACAGCCCGACTTTACAATATAACCAGTGACTCTCTTCATTCCAGTGTATTGATTCCCCATCTATGGATCTGAATACAAATACTGTGATAAGGGAACTAATGCTAGTCAGACTAGGACCAACCTCCATGGCTATTTGTACTACCACATGTCCTTCTGTCTACCCATCTCAAACAGGCTTATCATGACCAACATTCCTCCTCACCAGCCCGAAATGAAGAGAACGGTTAACTCATTGCAGTTTTGCCTTTATCCTTCTAGTCTGAGCTATCTTAAAAAAGCACAAGTTTAAAACCCTTTCTAATGGTATTTCATAGACATTACATAGACATTAGGGTTGGAAGGGACCTCGGAAGATCATCAAGTCCAGCCCCCTAATTATTGCCTATGATTAATTCATGTGCAGATGTATAAAAATTATGTTTTGCCAGATAAAAATTATGGCCATAAAAATTTGAAAAAAATCATAATTTGTTATTGTAGTGACTAGGGGGTATGTGTTTGTTAATGCAAATTAAACAGAAAAGTCTTAAACTGCTGTTTTCAGGGATGTTATAATATGATTGTTCTTCAAATAAAATTGTTATTGGATTAAGATTTTTTGGGTTAAATTTGATATTTTTTACAAAATGTGAAAACTGTCTTTATATCCTTTCCAATAGAAAATCTGCATATTAAATGCCAGGGCAAAAATATGACCTGTGTTATCCAGGACTTGTCAGACTAGATACCTGTGTTGTCCCTTCTGGCTTAAAAAATCTAGTAATTTGTGAAATGAATGTGAAAACAATGAAAAAGCCTTTACACCATTACAAAAACAGTTCACCTTGAATATTCTGGGCCTGATCACATATTACTAAGATTCCAGTGACTTCATTTTGTTTGATTAATGCCAGTGTAAGAGGAGAATCAAACTCATGGGTGCCTGTATACGACCCCAAAGGCTGCTCCAGTGTGTTGTAACTACAATTAATTGAGTCTGCTGGAGCATGGTTATTACTGTGCTTCAGCTGTCCTCCGTGTCTTGTGTATCAGTGTCCCCACACTTCAAAATGGTGGCAGGAGTGCTTTAACTGAAGCTCATTTTGAAGCGTGGGGACACTGATACATGAGATAATTCAGGCACTTTAATTAGAGCAGCTCTCAGAACCACTTTAATTAAAGCACCCTACTCCACCTCCAAGACATGTTTACACTTACTTTAATGGAAATGAAATATGTCAATGCTTTTCTGTACTGTAGAGAAAAAAAAATCCTTTCTTCAGACAGATTACATACAGGTACATTGCCTTTGAAGACCCTAACCATTCATGGGTAATAGTACCAATAATCTATGTATTAAAGTTCTATTTTGCCATCTAGGAAAATAGGCAAAGATTCTGGAGAAATACTGTCCTATGCATTTAAAAATCTGTAAATCGTGTATGTAGTAGCAAGGCACAGTGGACTGGTTCAATAATTCTCACTCTTTGAATATGTAAAACTTCAACAGATACTCTGATATTCTTGACTGTACATCATGGGCACTAATTACTGATTCTTTGAAAAGATGGACCATAAAATAGTGCTCTTATTTCCTGGTATCTAACTCTTAAATCACATTTATAGAAAAAAAGAAAGAACTAGCAAATGTCCTTGAAGTATGACTATGTAAACAATTACTGTATTGCCACAAGGATGTCAGCTAGCTTGGGAAGGGAGGTGGCCCACAAGATGTCATATGTTATGATAGATACTGTAAAATGTTTAAGAGCTTTTAAGAATATTATTAGAGATGACTTGGCTTTATTTATTCTCTCTTCCTTTTGCAGGTAACTGAAGCTTGTTAACAGAACTATTTACACAGTGATAATGAAAAAATCTTTCCATCAGAAAATTGCCAAGAATCTCTTAGCTGATTTTCAACATTGCTGAATGCTCAGTGATTCCCACAGATTTGAGTAGCAGCTGCTGAGCACTTAGTTCTTTTGAAAAATCAAGGTACTTATTGGGATGCACTCAGGAAAGTAACTTGAGATTGCTATTTTGGAAAACCCAGCCCATTTTCTAGTGTACATTCTTTACTAATATCTAGGTCAGGAGTTGGCAACCTATGGCTTATGGGCCAGATTTGGCCCACAGAACCACTGGATCCTGCCAGTGCAGTGGGGGCTTTGGCAGTGCTTGTTGGTGATGGGGCTTTGGGGGTGCAGCACAGCACTGTGGCCAGGCAGGAGGGCACTTTGCCTATGCCACACTGCAACTGGGTAGTGGAGAGAAGTGGCAGTGGGGAGAAGCTGCAGCAGTGGCTGTAGTTAGGTTCTAGCACGAGCCTGCTTTGGACCCGAGCTGGGTCATTCTGGTCTGGTGCCAGAAAATGTTGCCAACCTGTGGTCTATATAATGTCTTCATCATGGTATTGCTAGTGCCTTGTATTACATTTCACTATCACACATTCTTTCGGTGGTATGTCTCAAAATACAATGTAGTGCCATATAGAGGTACCTAAGCTTGCTCAGAAGGAGTGTATTGGGGTTTAGATGTTAGGGTCGGAAGGGACCTCAATAGATCATTTGGCACTAACATGACCATACTGCTTATAATATTGTGCCATGTAGATGATTTGTTTGTTGTATATTTTATCAATTTGTTTTTTTCTTCTCCTGGAGCTCTGTAGCTGAAGGTTCCTCCACAGAGAGAAATGAAATGGTTAAATGAATCACAAAATCATAGGAGTGAGGTATTTATTTTAAAGAAAGTCATATTTTGCACATACACTACTCTGTTTCAAACCAAAAATCATCCAAACTCCTCCTGAAAAGAGGTGATCTGAAACCAGGCCATTGGTGTTATATCTGGAATATAAATTGACTGTTTACCATGTGCTGTGCTATTTTGATTAATGTAACTCATTTTTCATTGTTTTTGAAAATTATGCCAAGCATCAAGTGAAATCCTTTCATCTAAGGAGGCTGGCATGTTGTTGTAGTTGTGATGTTCCAAGAAATGTATGAGAGAGAAGGATTTTTTATTGGACCAACTGTATAATTGAAAGAGACGTTGGACAAGCTTTTGGGCATACAGCACCCTTCTAGCAGAAGCATCCCTAAGTAAAGACACTTTATGCCAAAAGTTTGTCCAATATTTCTTCCAACTACACTGTTGGTTCAGTAAATGATATCACAAAAACCTCTTCATTTCTACCCAGGAGAACTTTTACAATCTTTTCTCCAATGCCTGATGAAAGGTGTTTGTGCCCGAAAGCTTGCAATTAAAGAATTTTTTTTGCAAAAATCTTGTTCATCTAATAAATGATATCATCTCTACTATGAGTCCTGATTGTCTTGCCTTTCAGTTATTTAAGGAGACTTTTGTGACATAAGCTGCTTCTTGACAGTAGTATACATGACAGTAAGCATTGAAACAAAATATAGACCATTCCCATATGAATATCTTGTGTAAGACTTGCAAGTCCCCCTAACAGTTTACTTACCCCATGATTTTTTGTCACACCAGAAATCCTGCTTAATAAAACTCCACCACATTCACTTTAATGGCCAACTACCAGGGGTCTACTCCAGCTCTTCTTAGAGTCAGTAACAGACTTTCAGTTGACTTTAATGAGAACTGCTACAGACAGTTGTTATTTAGGCTTGCAATTGGAGATGAAATAACTTTATTAGGTACACGTAGTGTACCAAACATTGGAGAGCAGCTCCCAATCTAATGGATAGTTTGTGTGACATTCTTGGATAGAATGCATGAGGAAAGGCAGCAAGGGGCCCCTTGGTTGTAGAAAAGAAAGCTCCTTCTTCTTAGGTGGTGTGGTGAGAAGTATCCCTCCTGTTTCCTTCTACCACACGGTTGGTAATAAACATTTCAAATTAGAATAATTCCTTAAATTCCTTAAATGGGACAAACTTGCTCCCATTTATGTTAATAGCAAAATGTCATGCACTTCACAGGTAGGGTAATTGTGCTTGAATAATATAAATGTAGAGATAATTTTGATTCTGGTGTAATATATCTTTGTGTATCTTTAAGGTGGATGACAGATTAAAATTTCACTTGAGAAAAAGAGTATTTTGTTACAGTCTCTTTCTTTGTCAGCTGAAACCCAGCCATATTTTAGAGATATTCCTATATTCTCAAATAGTCTTTTTCAATTAAAATATTTTCCTAAAAAAACCCCTGATTCCTTTTACCCATGATAATTTTGAATGAAATTAAATGTGCATGGTGAGTGTGCATAATGAGATTAAACTATACAAATAGTGAGAGAGAAATAAAAATTCCAACCTTTATTCCACTTTGAACAAGCTTGTGTATGTCCAGAAAAAGTTCCTTCATTATCTCCCCCTCAGGAGTGAAAATCTTCACGTATCCCTCCTTTTCAAGGATAAAGAGACGATGAGATCCATCCCCACAATGCACTGCTCCAACAGGCTGTCTCAACCCACTCACAACCTCTTGAATACAGAAGCAGTTGTGCTTATGTTTTCTAAAGAAATTTGGAAAAAAAAAAGTGAAAACTTTGTTTCATTTATCTAATAAAATAAAGTTATCAGAACCAGTATATAATATTCCCACCCCACCCACCCCAAGAACTAAAATTTGAGAGTCTTGAAGCTGTACTACAATATTAGTTATAAAAGGCCAAACAGGTTCTCCCTTCAAATGTACCCAGTCAATGGAAATAATCTGTGTACATCCAAGAGTATAATTTGGGATTTTATTACTGAGATCTATTGTAAAGTATAACTAGATCTGAGAGAGAAGATGAGGAGAAGGAGAAAATGTGTTAGAAGGCAGGAAAGTTAATATTTTAGGAAATTTTTGCCCTAAAGTAAGCACTGTAAATTCTAACAACTTTAAAATTTAACAAAAGTTGTCACTTAAAATCTTTTTTAAGTGGATGACGCATTTTGGAGCATTATTATTAAATATCCTAATCCAATTTATTCGCAACAATGGAAAATTCAGAAGAGAAAAAATGAAAAGTCCTATACTATATTTATAAAGAAAGAATTTGTTAATAATATATCAATATAGAGAAAATACTTCTGTCAGATGCTATCTACCAGTAGTTACAGAATTCAGGCCAAAATGACACACGTGAATAGGGTGATCATATGGGACTATGGGAAATCCAGGACACCCACCACCTCCCAAGTCACCGGTGCTGCTGCAAGCTGAAGCAGAGCAGCATGGTGCACCAGGCAGGCCTGCCTGCCTGTCTTCCTGGCATACCACACCACTCTGCCTCCCCACCAGACTGCACCCAATGCCTCTGCAATTCTGAAATGCTTATTTTAATCTTCACCAACTAGCCTGTGAAATCTGGGACTATTCCTGCCAAGCTGGGATGTTTGATTACCCTACATATGAATCGAAGAATTGTAGAGCAGTAGGGCTGAAAGGGATCTCCAGAGGTCATCAAATCCAACCTCCGGCCTAAGGCAGGATTCTCCCTATCCAAACCATTGTATACAAACCATAATCTAAACTTCACGTAAGACTACTATAAACCCTGACACAACAAAGACCTAACACTGTAACCTACCACAGATAAATTAGAGGAACCAGGGCAGCCAGCATCCTGCTTCTGTGAAATGTTGCCAATATATACTCAAGAGATCTCAGGTAGAGGGCCACATCCCTTGCTACAGAGGAAGGGAAAACCCCCTGGAGTTCATACCAATCTGACCACAGGGTAAAACTCTTTTCTGACCCCAAATATGGCAATCAATCTGATCCTGAGCAGAGGGGCAGGACCTTGTAGCCAGGAGCCTCTGGCTTTGGTCCCAGCAGGATCATTGGCACTCTCCAGTCAAAATCTCCAGTCTTGGCTGCAGCTAACACCCAATGCCTCTGAAGAAATCTTAAAAACACCATGACACATGTACCAGAAAGCAGGGGAGGGGGCAACCAACAAAGCCCAGAAGCATGGGAAATACTGATAATAGAATCTAAACATTCCTACAGCCCAACCTCTTCTTGAACACCTCCAGTGATGGAGAGTCTACCACTTCCCCAAGCAGTCTTTTCCACTGCCTCACTGTTCTAACAGTGAAGAAGATTTTTTTCCAGAAATCCAAACTAAACTTACTTTGCTGCCACTTCAAGCCATTGGTCCATGTCCTTTCTGCAGCAAGTGAGAAAAAGTGTTTCCCTTTTCTTTATGGCATCCCTTCAAGTACTTGGAAACTGCTATCATGTCTCTTCTAAAGCACCTTTTTCACAAGCTGAACATGCCTAGGTGTCTCAGCCTCTCCTCATGTGACTTGCTTTCCAAGCCTTTTATCATCTTTGTTGCCTGTCTCTGGACCCTCTCTAACTTCTCTGTGTCCTTTTTAAAATGTGGAACCCAGGCCTGCATGCATTATTCCAGATGAGGGCTAACCAGTGCCAAAGAGAGAGGTACTATCACCTTGTTTATCTTTCCATATTGCTGCCATCCAGCCAGGTGTCACCTATTTTATATTTGTGTTTTTGATTATTCCTCTCAAGGTGCAGCACCTTGCATTTATCTGCATTGAACTTCATCCTGCTAGCTCTAGCCCAACTTTACAATCTGTTGAAGTATGTATGAATCATAGAGAAGCCAGGCTCGTAACACACTGTTAGTAACCTAAATACTGAAAAGTCTTAAAGTTCAAATACACTAACAGCAGCAGAAGAAAATAACATCTGGAGCACACAGCTGCTGAGCATAAGCACAGACTGAGCTGATTCACTGTGAAAACCACAAAGATTTGTCAGTTTTTTTAGATTAAACATCATTTATCTTTATGAACCTGCTGATCTCTTCAACTTTGTCATATTCTTCCATCTGGTCCAAATAGTTAGAAGCTGGGCCTCGCACTTGTTTTCTTGGGAAATCTGGAAAGCACAAGCCACCATCTTTTCTTGCATAGTAAAAGCAAAACTCATCAGCTGTTGTTTGGAGAAAACCTTTAAAATGTAAAAGCAGAAAAACATTCAGCATATTGTCATATCTGCCTGTTTTGAGCCTTCAAGCTAATCTTCATGTGGGGTATAGTTTGAAGGGAAAAAAAAAACCCCATTTTTTAAACACAGGTCTATGTTACAGTAAAGATTTTTTTCTGGAATAAATACAGATACATAAATGCCTTTCTTGGGTTAGTATTTTGACAGCTTTGATTTAAAAGGGATTAAAATGGCAATGACGTTGCATGGAACGTGGGCATTGAAAGAAAGCCATTCTGCCTTATGTTCAAGTTGTTCAGTAGTTCTCTCCAAAGAAGAGTACTACTAATAAAACAGAACTTTATTTCTATTCTGTAACTTGTTCAGCCCTGTGTTTAATTTTGTGCACTAACATGGGGGAACCCAAAGTCTAATTCCTCAGCCTCCAGCACTTCAAAAAAGGGAGTGCTTCATATTGCTCTGTAGTCTGATGAAAGCAAGCACCGATAGCTTCTATAAGCGATCTTAAGCTGAAAGGAGGTCTTTTGGGTTTGGGGTTTTGAACCAACAAAGAAAAATATGTGGAAATAAAGATCTTCAAGGAAGCGTATTACAGCTCTTGGAATTTTACAAATTTCAAATGATAGCAAGAATATAACTGTCTATATACCCATTTCTAGAAAACTTGATCCTTGCTAGCCACATTTGCATCAGAAAGTAGAATTTGGCACTTCACATATGTGTGGGGCTTCTGGTAAGATGTAATAAGAAGCCCTAATTTAAGAATCTTAAAGTTTCCCATGCCTTGCCAGAATAATGAAAAAGGGGAGTTGTATGGGCCAGGATGTCACAGCATATACAGAATCCATAATGGTGTGGCATACTGTAAAGGTTTTATTGGCACTCAGTTGGGATCATCTGCATGTGGCCTCACCACATATGAGTAATGAACTTGTCCCAGACTCATGCCAATAAAAGCTTTGGCCTGCAACATGTAATTAGAGCTGGTCATGGATTTTTTTTTTTTGACAAAACTGTTTTTTTGTTGGGAAGTGCCAGGTTTTTGAAATTGCAACTTTCTACAGAAACACATACATTTCACCAAAACTTTATTTGGGAAACTTTTCGTGTCTAGGATGGAATTTCTGGTCAAAATGAATGAGAGAGACAAACAGAAGACAAGATTCATCCTGATACAGGTAACAGTGGAATGGTTAGCTCATTTTCCCAATGGGAGGTAGGAGACCTTGGTTTACATCCCAGTTCCATCTGATTCAGAACAGAGAACTGACCTTGAGTTTTCCACCTCTCATATGTATTCATAATTATCAGGTAATTAGGTATTTTGTTTTTTCATGAAGAAAAAAAGGAGCTTGTGTTCATTCATATACGGAATGGAAAATTATTTGAAATGACAAACATCCTGAAAGAATAGGAAAACCAATTTCCACCCAGCTCTCCTTAGAATTGTGTTTTTCTTAGGTGAATCCTATATTGGGATTCCTCAGGAATCTCCCCTGTAAATATCCTGTTTATTCCAAATAATACGCTAAAATTTGCTTTTGGATTATATAAAATATCTGGAACACATGATAGTGGGTTGTAATACAAAGGTTTGATAGGCATGAATTTGGTATTTTAGTAAATATCAGCTGCAAAGAGCTGGAAAGAGAAAATCAGGAGAAACTAAGATAAATAATTTTCATATGAAACAACTGAAGATGAATCATGGAACAATAAATATCAAAGCTTTGTAGATATCATGCCAGACTCAAAGGTAATCCAAAATTCTATTCAATTATTTGATATCAACAGGCATAATTTGAAATTTAATAATGTCTTACTCTATGCATCATAAACATTCAACATAAGTATGATGGAGAATTGGAGCTGGAGAATTCAAAAGCTGAATATGCCATTTTATTCAGGTCAGCTATTCTGAATTTGGATGTCATCACTATAACCAGGAGTACATTTTGATCACTGTGTAGTCAGCCTATGTTCATCTCTAGTAACAGACAGATATAAACTCATTTAACAAATACCTTATGGAATTCCCTGTACTTATACATAATGTCACAGCTTTATGCCTCTGGTTCTTGTTATTAAGATGTATATTTTAGCATGTATACAAGTATGAATTGTGCTGCACTTGTTTTTGCCATTCAGCAAACCCATTTCTTTCTTCCCCACAAGCACACGAGATAATCTGAGGTTGCATTTGGTAAAATCCTGTTTCTACAAATTGGGGTTTGAGCTGAACTGTAAATACTTTGTGTCACTCAAAGACTAAATGATCAAGAAATAATGGAACATCAGTTGTGCATTATCAGTGATGTTTTCAAAACTGCTCACCATTGGCCTAATCTACTGCCATTAACTTCAGTGGGAGTGTAATTAAGCCAATGCTGAGTATTTCTGAAAATGCAACTCTCTCCATCTCCCATCTAGTAAAGGTGCTGCCAATGCATAACAGGTGAAAATTTGGCCACTACGTTTTTCTTGATAAGAAAACAGCTACTTACAGAAATATCTGCTACCATATCTTAGGGCCCTTTTAGACATTCAGATAAAGGTGTGATAAGATCCGATACATGATCCACAGAATTGCACCTGCTGCCTTGTCACACATGCATGGCAAGAAGCACGATTGTGGGATCCAGCAGCAGATACTGCCATGCCTTATAGGCAGGTACCACGGGAGCCTGGAATTGCCATCCCAGGCTTCCCCTGCACCAGCAAGTAGAAAGCTCCTGCAGCTGCAAATTCTATAGTTGATAGAACCTGCATCTATATAGCCCTGAGGCACCTCCAGGACCCAAAGTCTACAGCCATGGGACACTCAGTCCTGGCAACTGTAGCTCCCTCAGCTGTGGGACTTCTAGCCCTGAGTACACATGGTGTACCCCTCTGGCTAAAAGCCCTGTCACCTGACCCAGTTCCCAGCCACAGGGGGAGGTCTTGCTACACATGCAAATTAAAGCTGGATTGCAACCAGCTTTAAAGTTATTGTACATTTGCCAGCTCTAATTTTATAGCTGGTTGGAACTTTTATGGTGTGATAGTTAGTTTGTACATGTAGCCAGTCTTAATCAATTGTGCGGTTAACCCTGATAATTGCAGGGTACATGTAATGTGTAGAGGGGGCCTTATATGTAGACATACAGACTGGTTGAATAAAGAAATAATTATAATACATATGGAAGTCAAAATTCTGCAGTATCGTTCTATTCCCCTATCTATTATATCCATTTATTGTCTCTTGTCTTTTGCTTGGATCACCAGGACTGACTTTTTGTTTATACTTGTACAGCATGTAGCACAGTCAGGCCTTGTTCCATGACTGGAACTCCTACAACATTTATAGATGTGCTCCGGGAGGTGGGGAGATTGGGGCATGGTGCGGATGAGCTCTGAGAGCCACTCTAATTAAAGTGCTTGCAATGTCATGTGCATTGGAGTCCCCGTGCTGAATAATACTGGTGGGGATGCTTTAACTAAAGCTCATCAAACCAGAGTTAGTTTAAAGCGCCCCACCACCATTTTTCAGTGTGGGGACACTGATACATATGATACCGGAGTCTGCTGGAGCACTGTAATTACCATGCTCCAACAGACTCGATTAATCGTGCTGTAATTACAATGCATCAGAGCAGCCTCTCTGCATGTGTATAGGTGCCCCTAGGCACCAGGGTAACATCAATTGTAAATAGTAATTTTGTTCATTTTGTAGTGAAATATATTTGCCACTGATTTTTCTGAGAGCTGACTAAAGACTACAGAGTTTGGCTTTCTGTGAATTTCTGTAGCTCTTACTATGTTTTTAAAGAACCATACATGTCATTACCAATTTCCTACCAATTGTAGGAGTGTTGACACAGCAATGACTGTACTCACACAGAGAAAACCTCAAATCACAGAGGAAAGACAAAATGTAAAGTAACAGTACTGTACGCTTCAAAGTTTTGCACAGGCCTGTATTTGACATACTTTGCAGAACTGCTGTCCTGCAAACAAGAATCACACTGTCCATGAGTCATACAGGCCTTTCAATCAAGGGAAATAAATTAAGAGTTTCTGTGTTATCAGGGTTTTAGAAGGAAGAGGAACTTGCATGATTCAAAGCTGTATGCACATAGAATGTATCTCTGGTCCCAGAGCCAGTGCTCATCTCTAATCTCTATTGACCTACATTTGCGATTCAACTCTCCCACTCAGTTGATGTAGCCTTCACTAAACACCACTCACTGGTCTTACCATCACTGGATTATCCATCTAACAGTACTTTGTCTCCTCCAGTATGACTCATCCTTTCTCTTTTTTTCCCTGCTACTAATTCTTTACTCTCTTTCAGTCCATCAAAATCTACAATAGAGCTAGTGGAGAAAACTGGGACAAATATCAGTGACATTTTCTCAATTTTTTTACTATTTTTTTCAATATTTTTGATGGCTAAAAATCATGTTTTGGTGAAACTATCATCCAGATGTTAAAATCTGAAAAAAATTATCGAATTTAGTGCATGACATTTTTTCAGCTGTAAGGGAAGAATTCTGTTTCCCTTTGTGCACCAAAATGGCAGTTTTCTAGCTGTTTAAGTGGCGTTTTTGGTACTTACATACAGGTTGCACTTCTATTATCCCTTCAGCATGAGTTCATAAGTATGCATACATAGACTGAACATTGCACAATAGAAGACTATACACTAGCTAGGCACATAGGTGACTGTGTACATGTGTCCACCATGTACTTGGTGTACTTGTAAGTGTGTGAGAGTCACAAAAACGTAGGTGGCTAGAGCCTGCATCTCTGACTTTCCAGCAGTGTAATGACCACCATGACACAGGTTAGACACTGTTTAATCTATTCTCTAGAGCGCTTTTTGAAGCTGGCAGGATCAGGAGGAAGAGCACAAGCTGTAGAATGTATGCTTCAGTGAGATGGTTGCTGCTCTTGAAGGAAGTAGGCCCTGGATTCTAGCCTGTTCCTTGCATCTAATGGGGCAAAAACTTACATGTTGCTCT